ATTTTAAATTTTTAACTTATGCAAATTATGTTTGAAGGTGGATATAAATCATGCTTGTGAGATTGATGAAATATTTGATGCAATAAGTTATAGAAAAGGTGCATCTGTTATTAGGATGCTACAAAGCTATCTCGGTGCTGAATGCTTTCAGGTTAGTACTTGGTCCCTTTCGTATTCAATGTCAAATTTGATGGGATAAAACAGTGAACTCTTCATGTAAGCATAATAAAATATATTTATCATCTAGTGCATCAGTAAACTATTGTTGGGGGTAGAGTTCTGTCTCAACTAAATTGACTTTGGTTTTTGTACTTTTAAATTAGGTAGGTTGTACAGTTTAGTTTGTGGTACATAAATTGGAGGTATTTTATATGTAATTCACTGTTACAGGCACTTTATATATTATCTTATGGCTTTTAAGAAGTTTGGATTCTAAAAATCCTTGTAAATGTGATTGAGTTATATATCATGCATTCATGCTATTACATTGTTTTTTCCTGTGACCAGAGGTCGCTGGCTTCATATATAAAAAAATATGCTTGCTCAAATGCTAAGACTGAGGATCTCTGGGCTGCACTTGAGGCAGAATCTGGTGAACCTGTGAACAAGTTAATGAACTCATGGACAAAGCAGATGGGATATCCTGTTGTATCTGTTAAAGTCAATGAGCAGAAATTGGAATTTGATCAGGTTTCATTGCATCTTGACCTTTCATTTGATTTTTATACGATTATGTTATGAGAAAAAATCCATCATATCTCATGTGTAAGCTTTGTACATTTATTGACAGTCACAATTCTTGTCAAGCGGTGCTCAAGGAGAAGGCCAATGGATTGTTCCAGTAACATTATGCTCTGGCACTTATGAGGTCCGCAAGAGTTTCCTCTTGCAAACAAAATCTGATGCACATGACGTCAAAGACTTCATTGGTACCGCAGACATAAGTGTAAATTATTGGATAAAACTAAATGTGGATCAGGCTGGTTTTTACAGGGTGAAATACGATGAGGTGATTGCTGCTAAACTTAGATATGCAGTAGAGAAGCAACTCTTATCTCCCTCAGACCGATTTGGTAAATTAAATAGTCACTTGAAAATTTATTTCCAATGGTAGTAAAGGAAAAGATTGATAACTTGCGAGTTATTTACTTTGATAGGCGTTCTGGATGATGCATTTGCACTTTGTATGGCTCGCCAAGAATCATTAACGTCCTTGATTAACTTGATGGGATCATACAGAGAGGAAGTTGATTATACCGTGCTGTCTAACCTAATAACTGTAATATTATAATCCAAATCATGTTCATTCCTTACGTAGGCTATATATGTTGAATGTAACTCCAATACTTTTGTTTGACAGATAACTCTTAAAGTTGAACGCATTGCAGCCGATGCTGTACCTCAATTGCTAGATTATTTCAGGCAGTTCTTTATTGGTCTTCTCCAGCACTGTGCTGAGTAAGTTGCTGAATGCATGATCCTGGGAAGAAGATAGTGTTAGTGTTTCTGTTAATAAGAATTTATAGACTACGTATAATTTCTATAGCTTTGCATGGTGATTGGAAAGTCATCTGCTAGAATCATGTTTGTATGTGGTAATGTGGCTGGTACTCACACTGGGGGATAAAGGTATTGGAAGATCTGGAATTTGGATGACCTAAATAAGATAACATTGGCTATGCACTTTTTGTAGTAGTTTTTATTAGATCTTGGCTTCTACTTATCTCATATTGGCATTGCCTTGCAGGAGGCTTGGTTGGGAGCCTAAACCAGGAGAAAGTCATCTAGATGCAATGTTGAGAGGAGAAATATTGACTGCTCTTGCTTTGCTTGGTCATGATTTAACACTGGAAGAAGCAAGCGAGCGTTTTCAAGCATTCTTAGAGGACAGGAATACACCACTTCTCCCGCCTGATACAAGAAAGGTTGGCCGCATCTTCATTTTAATGTATGAAATCTCCCTATGGACTCTTCTGCTGATTATTAGTGTGAAATGTTGGCAGGCAGCATATGTAGCTGTAATGCAAGGGGCAAGCAAATCTAATCGATCCGGTTATGAATCCCTTTTGAAAGTATATAGAGAAACTGACCTAAGCCAGGAGAAAACACGAATTCTTGGTAATGAAATATCTTCTCTGAGAGCATAAACTAGCTTCTGGGTCTTGATACTAATATTTTCTACAATTGTAGGCTCTCTGTCATCTTCACGTGATCCAGATCTAATTCTTGAAGCTCTTAACTTTATGTTGTCATCTGAGGTAACCTTTTTTCTGATATTTTGAAGTCAGAATGCGCATACTCACATTATCAGCTGATTATTTTTTTGGTATGCGCAATGTATATTAAAATGTTAACTTGCGATGTTGTTATATGATGTTAAGGTTCGGAGCCAGGATGCCGTTTTTGGACTTGCTGTTAATAGAGAAGGACGAGATGTAGCTTGGGCATGGCTTAAGGTATAAACAACCCAGAACTAGTACTTAAACACATTAAATTTTGTATTTGTTAGTTGTCCTTAGCAATGTCATTTTTTGTCAATTGATGTACAACGATTATATTTGATTTTGACGAAAAAAAACAAAAATTCTGATTGAGATCACGAGTTCATGAAACAAACGTACACTTTTCTTTTAAACCCTTTCCCCCATTCTTTTATGATATTCTCAATGTTCTCAATGTTATGCAGGAAAATTGGGAACACCTCATAAAAACATATGGTTCAGGATTTCTGATAACCCGCTTTGTCAGTGCAGTTGTCTCACCGGTTCGTCTCATAAAAACCCTCTTCAACCTGCTTTGTCCCATTGATACTCGAGTTTCCCTCTGGAATGTTTATCTATAATTCTCCATTTTTTATTGTTGGTGCAGTTTGCATCCTTTGAGAAGGCCAAGGAGGTAGAAGAATTCTTTGCTAGCCATGCTACGCCTTCCATTGCAAGAACTTTAAGGCAGAGCCTTGAGCGGGTTAATATCAACGCAAACTGGGTTGAGAGTATTCGGAAGGAAGACAGCCTTACTGATGCTGTGAGGGAACTGGCATACAGAAAATATTAGTATTGCTGTCTTTTCTGAACATGTTACTAAAACTTTCTTCACTCAGTCAACCTTACTGTCTTTGCTGAGGATGAACCTCGCGAGTTGCCTCACCTAGGAATAAAAATAGACTCAATATGTCATTTCGTGGGTTTAAATATATCAATTGTGTCCTTTTTAAATGTGGGTTTTTTTGTTATTTAAAAGTGGCCTATTTTACTCCAGTTACCATAATTAATGTGACATAGATTGTCACAATATTGTTGACTGGTTTTTATACACCTCGCATAGCTTTGAAGCATTTGCCTGTCCTACCATGTCTCGTAGATTAGGGTACTGCTTGTGGGGTGTGCAGAGATAACTAGAAGATGAGATATGCTAGAATTTTTAATGTGGGAAATTTGACAAAAGTTCCATGTCATGTGGCTCCACCTAGTTGCTAATTACACCAGTTATCTGCTTAGCAAAGGACCAGCCATAAAGTAATCTGATTTCATACATAATTTAATCTTATTTAAACACTGTTACTGTGTATGTGTAATTGTAAACGTGTATGTCTTTGTTTGTCGAAGATTAAGAGACTATAGACGTTAGTTGGAACACAATGATGAGTTCAATAACTATTTTATTTCTTTTTTCAGAATGTAGTAATATGTATATGACTCTTCTTTATAAGGCACTCGTAGATTTTTATCAAGAAAATAACTAGACACTAATTTAAAGAAAAAATGAAGTGTTCCATTTTTACAAACTATTCACAAGTTCCATAGCTTTGGGTCTACTAGTCCGATCATGATTTTTTTACCCTCAAGTCCCTTTTTTGGCCGGTCGAGAAGGGATTCGAACCCTTGCCACCTGTGGTTCGTAGTCACGTGCTCTAATCCTTTGAGTTACAGCTCCATCTCGTCATCTCCACTGTATATCTGTTTCCTGGAGTATCGCTCTATAACTGTGCGTTCTGAGATGTGAAGGATGTGTTCTGATGAATGGTGCGCTATGAGGTGTGAAGGAGGAGATAAAGGAAAAATTAATTAGACACTAATTTAAGAAAAAAATGAAGTGTTAGAACATAAATGTTCAGATGAATATTTGAAATTATGAATATTCAATTTTAATTCTTTAAGAACATTTTACTCCTGTAAAAAAATCATTTTATGATACTATCTTTTATATTTTCTTTAACATTTAAATTCTTTGTAGAAATTAAAGTTACAAATTTTAACTTCAACCTTGCTCTGACGGATAACAAGTTATTTGTTTAATAATAATCATGATAATACATTTTAATCAAGAAAACTTTTAATTCTTATAAATATTTCTATTCTTAATTTCTTAGTTGGTGGTTTTCTGTATTATTTTGATTTTTAGCAAATTAAACATTTTAGAGGTGCAAAACAAAGTTGGAGAATGCAACAACCTTGCCCCTGGCGGCTCAGAAGTCATTTTCTTCCAGTTTTATTTTGTTGCAAAAGAAGAAAGCAGCACACAGGCAGACACGTAGGACCTAAAGTCTGTCCTAGTGCTCGCAGCAATCTGAATCAGAACTCCAATGTTTGGATATTTATGTTTCATAAATCACAGCCATGAAAAAGGAAAATATCTTTAAAATGGCAACCTGAATGGTTGAATGAATATAAATAAATATCTTAAAAGTTGATCAATCTACAGTGATCTTTTTAAGAAAAGAAGAATGTGACAAGGTCTAATAGTGTTTGATAAGAAGCCACATTCCTAAGTATATTACTCAACCATGGACAAGAACAGTTATACCATCAAATACCAAAAATGCAAATAAAAATAGAAATATATAACTGGGATTTTTCTTAAGCAACTTTGTCCATAACTGTCCCCACCATCATCATGATTGCAGTACAACCACTGGAACTGAGTCATCATAAACCAACACCACCGACATAAACAGAGAGAATGCTTTGCCACATTACTATAAGGGTAAAGAACAATGCCAATTAACTACTACCTTTTTTTATAAACAACACAGGTTAAAACAATATGAAGTGAATACCTCACAGAGCCTTTGTTCTCGGAGGCATAATAATGAATACAATATGGTGACAGATAAACATGGAACTGGTCTCCTATACCAAACCTAAAAAAGCAGCAAAGATTTACATGGCCCCAATGTGGCAGTATACAAGGAGACTCTGAATCAGTTGAGTGATCTAGGGGGGAGAGAGGTGGATGTATTGTACAGGGTGCTATTCTGATGATGCCCATATGAAAAATTTATGGGCAAAAAAAACCTATATTCGATCATAATTCAGCTTTTCATATCTTCTAACACCCAGGTGCAGTTGAAGAAACAGTCACGTCTTGCTCTTAAATTTTCTCTGAGCTTTCAAATCCACCACAATCACAGAGATGTTGTCTTTGCTTCCTTTCTGAAGGGCGCGATTTGAGAGGTACTCTGCAGCTGCTTGTGCAGCAGGATCAATTCCTTCTCCCCGTTCTGAGGGCAGTGGCAGCCCATTTTTCTTGTGCCAGAGAAGTATGCGCCGCCGAGCAATGTCGCACACCTCTTCGTTTGTCATGACATCCCACAGGCCGTCACTGGCCAGAATGAGGCAGTCATCGTCTTTGGCACGAGGAACAAACATCACCTCAGGGTCTGGAATAATCCATGGCTTCAAATACCTATCACCTGTATAATTATCAAGCCAACAGTAAACAAAAACCGCTTTCGACAAAAACTTTTCAAGGACATGCAACTTCACTGCACAAGTACACACTAGAGCCACAACAGATTATCAAACCTACACGCACAAAGAATGCAACCAAGACAAAAAAATGAAAACAAAGCATAACCATATTTAGTGTCCATAGTAACCATTTTCATATTACCCCATATGAAACTTGTCAAGTAAATTTATGAATAAACAATTTTTTTAGAAGTACACAAATCTGGGGGCAAAAAAAGGCTCAGCTTGAGGACAGTTCCCTTCACATTCCCTTTCTTTTCAACAAAACCTTTCAATTTTGAAACTCCCCAGGGAGATTGCTTTCTCGGCATCGTTTCCCATGTAATATAACTTGTCCAAACAAAGTCTGCTAAACTTTATAGGGTGAATCGTTGAATGTTGAAAGATATTCTTGGCATAAGAGTTGTGTACATTCATTGTAACTTTTATTCTAAGTAAAAACAAAGACACAAAATGTTATCCCTAATTGCATGCTTTTTGCATAAGAAAAACTTTTAATTAAGGAATTACACAGTTACAAGAATAAGTGAGAGTACGTGCCTAACAACTTTAAAAAGAATAAGTAAGCATTTAACTTTAAACTTGAGTTTCAGAGACGAAAATAGTATTTTCACTTTATAAGAATGAGAGTACGTTACAACTTTAGCAAGGACTGGGAACATGACTCAGAAGTAATGATGAGAAAATTAATGATGTTATAGAAGATAAAAACATAGCTGAATGAAAAAGGATATTGAAGGTTTGTGATTTTAATGTCTATCAAGCTTAGAGGAAAGTATAATAATTATTATGTATTGAATGTTCGACTTTAAAGGACCCATGAGAGAAAAGGTGAGAACAGATATGCGAGGGGTAATATGAATCTCTCTGACCACACAAGAAAAGCCGTAATACAAAATAATTGTACACAAAAAGATGACAGAAAATCGGTTAAGACAGTTGGAAATCGTACAAAGGTTACTATATGCACCAGCGAGGAGGGTAAATTGCAGGACTTTTAGTCCTGTGAAAAAGAAGACCACTAAATCCTCCAATAATATCTTCTGAATTACTAAATGCAGAAAGAATTGAATGCATTTTACATTTCTAAGGTATGAAATGTATTTACCTTTTCAATTAATACTTATTTTATAGAAAATTAGTAAGGATTAGTAGGAAAACATAACATTACTCAAGTGATCAGCATCATAAGGAAATGAAAAGACTACACCATCTTCGTAATAACACCATTTCTATCAGAGATAAGAGTGCAGATATGAAGAATGCAACCAATGTTCCTTTTTCCATTCACACACTAAGTTACCGATATGTGCATTGAGAAAAATTCCTTGTCAGCCATGCTCACCAAAAAAACCACCAAGTAACCAAAATCATTACACCACAGGAAATAAAATTAAACTTCTGATTAAGCTCATACCAATTGACCTTGACATTGCGAGAACACCAAAAACTCGGTGACCATTCCATTGTATCACCCTGCCTCCAGCTGCCTCAATTCTTGCATATTCATCAGGTCGATTTGGCTATCATACAACAATCAAACATAAATTTCTTCTATTTAGTTAAAATTCTTTCGAAAGGAGACAACTACAATTTGAGGTAGCTTACTTTATGGTCAACTGATAGGGCCATGGGTTCTTTGCCACGACACAGAACCGCTCTTGAATCACCACAGTTTGAAACTACAATATGAGATGAACATATAACAGCAACAACAGCAGTTGATCCAACAGTTTCTGGGGCAACAGGATCAGTATTAACATCCCCTCCAACTTCAGAATCAACCTTTAAAAAGCAACTGGTGAAGGCTTTTTTCCACAGATCTCGACAATCATCCCTGGTGCTTTCAACTAAAAGACCTTCTCTGACAGATTCTATTTCCTCTGCCAAGGCTAAATGCATGCGCTCGCGGCAATAATTTGCCACCTAAAAGTAAACAAGCTACGTGTGAAGAATGCTCAATGGTTGGACATTAGAACACGTAAAAAGCAAAATAAAACTTTACCTGAGAACCACCATGGCCATCATAGACTCCAAAGAAATGTATTGTCTGCTCCCTGAAACATTGGTCTATGCCATCAGGTACCCTATCACCGGTTAGCATTTGAATAGGAATTTTCAAAAATCTAGGTACAGTTGCAAGTGCATCTTCCATCTCAGGTCTTTTTCCACACACAGATGTAAATCCCCAAAGTGGGGTACAATCTAATTCAAAAACACTTCTACCAACTGTTCCACTCACAGATCTTTCTAGAGTTAGTTGATGAAGAACACCTGTAGTAGGCTCTGGGACAGATATAACTCCTGTCTCTTCTCCAACGCTAACTGCTACATCTGCGACTACATTTGACACACCCAAATCAGTAGCCCTGGCAGCAATTTTCACAGTGTTGATGCTTTTCTCTATTTCTATGGAACTTCTTGTTCCTAAATCTGCAGAAATCTCAGAACCGATGAACTCATCTCCACAAAAACTACTATTCTCGCTGGCTACTGAAAGAGAACTATCAATAATTGGATCACCTTCTAGAGATATCAAATCATCATCCTCAATTTCTGGGGTTAAAACTTCTTCACCGACAACCAAAGAGTTTATATTTTGGGACACCATACCCAACATCGGAATTTCTTCTACTCTTCCCTTTTCTGGAGGTGTGACTGCTGCACTACCAACTTCCTCCCCAAGACAATTACTGTCCAGATCCTCATCAGCAATAAAAGTATCAGTAGAAACCTTGGTTATAGAATTGGATAACAACCCTGCCTCTGTCATCAGCTTAATTCTGGACACATCCATGTGAGTAGTAATGGTTGGCTTATCACACACTGAATTACCTACTCTCAATGGCACTGCAACCGTGGTTGACATCTCCTCCATCAAAATCCTTATCTATGTAGTACAAAAAGTTACCCTCCCACCCTACTGATATCCCACAGCCTGTCATATTTGAACTAAATTATCATCGTCTTTTATGAGTGAAAACGATCCTGGAATGACAAACGTGGATGTAAAAAAACCATTTCCCATGTCTAAGAAGCCCAGAGACGGAGGCAAATTCAACCTATGCAAATCATGGAATAGTTAAAAGGTGGCGAAAGTGAAATGGGGATAGTCAGATCTGGTCAACAACAATGGATCCGAAATTCCATTTGCGGAAATTTCAATCGAAATTAGCTAAAATACACCCTTTTTCAACTATTATCATATTATTTTCTAGATTCTTCTCTGTCTACCTTCGTCAACTCTGGTGAGAAAGAATCAGCCGAAACTTGAAAAAAAAAAAAATTAAAAAAAAAAAAAAAAAAAAGATTAAAACCCACCAAAATAAAAGAAAAAGAGAGAAGGAACAAAGCTAACACTCATTATCTCTACACACAAGAAATATTGAGTAAAAGAAAAGGGTTGAGAAAGAAAAGAAACCCAGGAAAAGCAAAGTCTCAGGAATCACAAGGAAGCCCTCAAAAGATAACACCCTTTTTTCACACTACCGCATGAGTTGCCTGGATCTGAGGCAACACAACTCAACCTCGTCCAATAATAATAATGATAAAATGAAAGAAAGAAAGAAAAAAGGTAAAAGAAATAAAGAAGAAAAAGAGATTCATTACCTAATTTTGTCAACCATGTAGAGTCTCCTTTCGTACTTCCTTCCTTGGTTTGTTTTCTCTTCTCACTGCCTCATCTTCTGACTGTGACAGCAGAGAACCATGATGGAAGAAGGAAGAAAGAATCAAGAGAAAAAATAAAAGCATGGACTTTCCTTAATCGAAACCATTTAAGTAAATAAAAATGAACAGCTTTACTGGGTGTGATATAGATATAATAAGCATACCTGAGTGTGTTGGGGTGTGTGTTGGAAGCGCGAGAAAGGGAGTGGAGAAGAAAGAAAGAAAATGACCAAAATTTAAGCAAAAAAAGAAAGTTTTAATGAAAGAAAAATGGACTTAAAAGAGAAAGAGGAGACATAGAAAAAAGAGAAGTAAGGTGTTGTGTTGGGTTTTGTGTGAGAGAAGACAATGGAGTTGGACAGATGTCAAATCTTGAAGAGCATATTAAAGCATCTCCACCCATCCTTTCCTCCGTTCCCAACCTGGCTTCACTTTTCACCATTCTATCTAATCTTGCATTTATTTTAAAGCCTTGAATCTCATTATTTTCCTCTATTTTATTCATTTAATTTCCTCATTTTTTTTTCTTCCATCAAATTTCAATTTTCATCGACTTTTAATTAATTTAGTTCTTTTTAATAACAATTTTTAAATCTTTAATAAAAGATGAATAATGTGTAAGGTCNTCTTCGTTTGTCATGACATCCCACAGGCCGTCACTGGCCAGAATGAGGCAGTCATCGTCTTTGGCACGAGGAACAAACATCACCTCAGGGTCTGGAATAATCCATGGCTTCAAATACCTATCACCTGTATAATTATCAAGCCAACAGTAAACAAAAACCGCTTTCGACAAAAACTTTTCAAGGACATGCAACTTCACTGCACAAGTACACACTAGAGCCACAACAGATTATCAAACCTACACGCACAAAGAATGCAACCAAGACAAAAAAATGAAAACAAAGCATAACCATATTTAGTGTCCATAGTAACCATTTTCATATTACCCCATATGAAACTTGTCAAGTAAATTTATGAATAAACAATTTTTTTAGAAGTACACAAATCTGGGGGCAAAAAAAGGCTCAGCTTGAGGACAGTTCCCTTCACATTCCCTTTCTTTTCAACAAAACCTTTCAATTTTGAAACTCCCCAGGGAGATTGCTTTCTCGGCATCGTTTCCCATGTAATATAACTTGTCCAAACAAAGTCTGCTAAACTTTATAGGGTGAATCGTTGAATGTTGAAAGATATTCTTGGCATAAGAGTTGTGTACATTCATTGTAACTTTTATTCTAAGTAAAAACAAAGACACAAAATGTTATCCCTAATTGCATGCTTTTTGCATAAGAAAAACTTTTAATTAAGGAATTACACAGTTACAAGAATAAGTGAGAGTACGTGCCTAACAACTTTAAAAAGAATAAGTAAGCATTTAACTTTAAACTTGAGTTTCAGAGACGAAAATAGTATTTTCACTTTATAAGAATGAGAGTACGTTACAACTTTAGCAAGGACTGGGAACATGACTCAGAAGTAATGATGAGAAAATTAATGATGTTATAGAAGATAAAAACATAGCTGAATGAAAAAGGATATTGAAGGTTTGTGATTTTAATGTCTATCAAGCTTAGAGGAAAGTATAATAATTATTATGTATTGAATGTTCGACTTTAAAGGACCCATGAGAGAAAAGGTGAGAACAGATATGCGAGGGGTAATATGAATCTCTCTGACCACACAAGAAAAGCCGTAATACAAAATAATTGTACACAAAAAGATGACAGAAAATCGGTTAAGACAGTTGGAAATCGTACAAAGGTTACTATATGCACCAGCGAGGAGGGTAAATTGCAGGACTTTTAGTCCTGTGAAAAAGAAGACCACTAAATCCTCCAATAATATCTTCTGAATTACTAAATGCAGAAAGAATTGAATGCATTTTACATTTCTAAGGTATGAAATGTATTTACCTTTTCAATTAATACTTATTTTATAGAAAATTAGTAAGGATTAGTAGGAAAACATAACATTACTCACGTGATCAGCATCATAAGGAAATGAAAAGACTACACCATCTTCGTAATAACACCATTTCTATCAGAGATAAGAGTGCAGATATGAAGAATGCAACCAATGTTCCTTTTTCCATTCACACACTAAGTTACCGATATGTGCATTGAGAAAAATTCCTTGTCAGCCATGCTCACCAAAAAAACCACCAAGTAACCAAAATCATTACACCACAGGAAATAAAATTAAACTTCTGATTAAGCTCATACCAATTGACCTTGACATTGCGAGAACACCAAAAACTCGGTGACCATTCCATTGTATCACCCTGCCTCCAGCTGCCTCAATTCTTGCATATTCATCAGGTCGATTTGGCTATCATACAACAATCAAACATAAATTTCTTCTATTTAGTTAAAATTCTTTCGAAAGGAGACAACTACAATTTGAGGTAGCTTACTTTATGGTCAACTGATAGGGCCATGGGTTCTTTGCCACGACACAGAACCGCTCTTGAATCACCACAGTTTGAAACTACAATATGAGATGAACATATAACAGCAACAACAGCAGTTGATCCAACAGTTTCTGGGGCAACAGGATCAGTATTAACATCCCCTCCAACTTCAGAATCAACCTTTAAAAAGCAACTGGTGAAGGCTTTTTTCCACAGATCTCGACAATCATCCCTGGTGCTTTCAACTAAAAGACCTTCTCTGACAGATTCTATTTCCTCTGCCAAGGCTAAATGCATGCGCTCGCGGCAATAATTTGCCACCTAAAAGTAAACAAGCTACGTGTGAAGAATGCTCAATGGTTGGACATTAGAACACGTAAAAAGCAAAATAAAACTTTACCTGAGAACCACCATGGCCATCATAGACTCCAAAGAAATGTATTGTCTGCTCCCTGAAACATTGGTCTATGCCATCAGGTACCCTATCACCGGTTAGCATTTGAATAGGAATTTTCAAAAATCTAGGTACAGTTGCAAGTGCATCTTCCATCTCAGGTCTTTTTCCACACACAGATGTAAATCCCCAAAGTGGGGTACAATCTAATTCAAAAACACTTCTACCAACTGTTCCACTCACAGATCTTTCTAGAGTTAGTTGATGAAGAACACCTGTAGTAGGCTCTGGGACAGATATAACTCCTGTCTCTTCTCCAACGCTAACTGCTACATCTGCGACTACATTTGACACACCCAAATCAGTAGCCCTGGCAGCAATTTTCACAGTGTTGATGCTTTTCTCTATTTCTATGGAACTTCTTGTTCCTAAATCTGCAGAAATCTCAGAACCGATGAACTCATCTCCACAAAAACTACTATTCTCGCTGGCTACTGAAAGAGAACTATCAATAATTGGATCACCTTCTAGCGATATCAAATCATCATCCTCAATTTCTGGGGTTAAAACTTCTTCACCGACAACCAAAGAGTTTATATTTTGGGACACCATACCCAACATCGGAATTTCTTCTACTCTTCCCTTTTCTGGAGGTGTGACTGCTGCACTACCAACTTCCTCCCCAAGACAATTACTGTCCAGATCCTCATCAGCAATAAAAGTATCAGTAGAAACCTTGGTTATAGAATTGGATAACAACCCTGCCTCTGTCATCAGCTTAATTCTGGACACATCCATGTGAGTAGTAATGGTTGGCTTATCACACACTGAATTACCTACTCTCAATGGCACTGCAACCGTGGTTGACATCTCCTCCATCAAAATCCTTATCTATGTAGTACAAAAAGTTACCCTCCCACCCTACTGATATCCCACAGCCTGTCATATTTGAACTAAATTATCATCGTCTTTTATGAGTGAAAACGATCCTGGAATGACAAACGTGGATGTAAAAAAACCATTTCCCATGTCTAAGAAGCCCAGAGACGGAGGCAAATTCAACCTATGCAAATCATGGAATAGTTAAAAGGTGGCGAAAGTGAAATGGGGATAGTCAGATCTGGTCAACAACAATGGATCCGAAATTCCATTTGCGGAAATTTCAATCGAAATTAGCTAAAATACACCCTTTTTCAACTATTATCATATTATTTTCTAGATTCTTCTCTGTCTACCTTCGTCAACTCTGGTGAGAAAGAATCAGCCGAAACTTGAAAAAAAACAAACTTTATCTGCAAAAAACAAAAAAGATTAAAACCCACCAAAATAAAAGAAAAAGAGAGAAGGAACAAAGCTAACACTCATTATCTCTACACACAAGAAATATTGAGTAAAAGAAAAGGGTCATGAGAAAGAACCCCAGGAAAAGCAAAGTCTCAGGAATCACAAGGAAGCCCTCAAAAGATAACACCCTTTTTTCACACTACCGCATGAGTTGCCTGGATCTGAGGCAACACAACTCAACCTCGTCCAATAATAATAATGATAAAATGAAAGAAAGAAAGAAAAAAGGTAAAAGAAATAAAGAAGAAAAAGAGATTCATTACCTAATTTTGTCAACCATGTAGAGTCTCCTTTCGTACTTCCTTCCTTGGTTTGTTTTCTCTTCTCACTGCCTCATCTTCTGACTGTGACAGCAGAGAACCATGATGGAAGAAGGAAGAAAGAATCAAGAGAAAAAATAAAAGCATGGACTTTCCTTAATCGAAACCATTTAAGTAAATAAAAATGAAAAGCTTTACTGGGTGTGATATAGATATAATAAGCATACCTGAGTGTGTTGGGGTGTGTGTTGGAAGCGCGAGAAAGGGAGTGGAGAAGAAAGAAAGAAAATGACCAAAATTTAAGCAAAAAAAGAAAGTTTTAATGAAAGAAAAATGGACTTAAAAGAGAAAGAGGAGACATAGAAAAAAGAGAAGTAAGGTGTTGTGTTGGGTTTTGTGTGAGAGAAGACAATGGAGTTGGACAGATGTCAAATCTTGAAGAGCATATTAAAGCATCTCCACCCATCCTTTCCTCCGTTCCCAACCTGGCTTCACTTTTCACCATTCTATCTAATCTTGCATTTATTTTAAAGCCTTAAATCTCATTATTTTCCTCTATTTTATTCATTTAATTTCCTCATTTTTTTTTCTTCCATCAAATTTCAATTTTCATCGACTTTTAATTAATTTAGTTCTTTTTAATAACAATTTTTAAATCTTTAATAAAAGATGAATAATGTGTAAGGTCGTATCAATTTAGTGTTTTTAAATAATACCAGTATTAATATTACGTGTAATTGTTTTATATTTAATTAAATTTTCAATTCAATTTCAATTTATTTCGTTTCAAATTGATAGAATTGAGTATAAGACAGTAAGATTCATAATAACTTAACACATACTATTAATATTAACTTATCACATCACATTATATAATATTAATTTAACTGACACATAAATTAATATAATATTAATTTAACTGACACATAGATTAATGATCATTAAAAAATCAAATTAAAATATGGTTTTATTAAAAAATAAAATAAAATTAAACAAACTTCACAAAGTAGAAAGCAAATTTCTATTTAAACCATTTTATAACTTCTTATCCCCCGAAAGAAATCATGGTGACACATTTCTTTTATTTCAAATGCAGTAAATTTTAACTTGAAAACATTTATTATTATAATTTAAAAAAAGAAACATTTTCTTATATTTATTGTCATTGTCCTATAGCAGACTCTAAAACAATCAGATGTATTGTAATACTCAAATCTTAAATTTATAATTTGAGTATGACCCTATAATAAAAATGATGTTAAAATGTAAATATATTTCAATTGGAAAAAAAAAGTTAAAACTTCGTACTTAAAAGATTTGATTGGTGTAATTAGAATCTAAAAGTATTATATCTAGTCTCAAAATAAAATTACAATTAATTACTTTTCTAATAATATATTTTTTAAACATTAAATGTATTTGCTACTAAATTATTTGAAATATGATTTTCCGAATATTGAAGATTCACATACTACATTACTACATTTAGGTATGCCAAAATTCGAAAAAACAGTTCTCAATCATTACTAACTGAGAATAAACAATGTAATTATTATTTATATATTTAAAAATTTCGGAAAAAAATCTTTAAAATGTTATTAATTGAAAAAGGTTTAGTATGACTTGGTAATATAATTGAAAAAAGATATTTGCCGCAAATTTAATTTTGTCTATATGGATATAAGGAACGTTAATGAAATATAACTAATACGATCTTATTATATTTATTTTATTAACTGAATTTTAAAATTCACGAAGAGTTGAGAAAGAGTCGTAAGTTATTTAATTTTTGTGATTTGATTTAATAGTTAAAATAATATTGAAAGGTACAATATAAAAATATATTGAATACAATTCTCGTTAACAAAATTATAATTAAAATTAACTTTGAAAATCATAATAAAATGAGTGTCAATACTGTACCTATATCAGTGGTCTTGAGTCAATTCGATAAAAAGTTAATTTAACTCACACATTAAACCGAATATATATAAATAAAAACCTATTATATTACCAAATGACCATTTTAGTTTGAAAGTTTTAAATTGAAGGAAATTGAGTTAAAAACTTTTGTCCGGAACTTCTGGCAGCCGCACTCTTTCGTCTGTCACGACTTTTAATTGTTATTTAACATTAAAGAGAGAAAAATTAATTTTTTATAATGTTGATTTTTTTCTTCCTTTAAATTTTATTTTTTGAAAGAAATATTTATTAAATGTGTGGATGAACATTCGTTGTACTACTCATGTGACAGATAAGAATGAGAGATAAATGGTTAAATCTAGAGTATGAACTTAACTTTGGGGAGCTCATCTCTGGTTCGACGTCCTCAAAAGAATTGTCTACCGTACATGTTCTATTAATCAAACTTGACATCAATAGGAGGAGGCAACTTCTTGATGGTGACGATGAGCACATCCATTCTGTCCATGACAGATATGGCATCAGAGTTGGCATCGTCCGGAAGCGTAAACCTGCTCATGAACTTTCCGACTCTTCTCCCCATACTTCAAATATCAAACCCCTTCTCTCTCCTCCTCCCTCTTCCTATAGCCGCTAATGATTACCACATTGTCCTCCTTCACCTGCACCTTAATGTCCCTAGCTTTCGCGCCAGGCATGTCGATCACATAACAGTTCGGATACTCCTTAACATCAGCATGGGTGGCAGCCATTGCTTTTACATCTCCAGCGTACGTCCAGAAAGATTTACGGAATAATAGCAGGAGTTCTAGACAATCCGTACTTAATTCCCCATGCTTAGAAGGTCCAGATAACAACTCTTCATTTCTTAAAAAAAGTCAAAATTAATTAGTCTCTGGGCTCCCATTCTTCATTTTTTAATAAAGAACAATTCACCCATTATCATATTATTTTCTAGATTCTTCTCAGTCTACCTTCGTCAACTCTGCTGAGAAAAGAATGCGCTGAAACTTGAAAGAAAACAAACTTTATTCTGCAAAAACAAAGAAGATTAAAACCCACCAAAATAAAAGAGAAAGAGAGAGGGGAAACAACAGCTTAACATTCTGATAACTTTTTGGCAAGTATATCAATAATCGTTCCAAGGAATATAAAAGTAAGTTCAAAGTATCGTTCTGCTAGGAACTTGTGCAAGGCACATGACAATTCTTCCTTTCATAACTCAATTAGACATCAAAGTGTACAAAAAACACAAGAAACTCTTTTTGGTATTTTTATCAAACAGTGGTGTGCAAGAAATTATATTTAAAAGAAACTTTTTTGGAATTGGGTTTCATGAATCATAGGAAGATAAAACTCCGTCAATAATCATTATTTCATTCAAGCATTCACATCAAGGCATACTAGTCCTAATTCCTTAGCAACTAGTTCTAAATTTATATATCAAAATGTTAATCCCTTAGTCCATTTAACATACAATTTGCATTAAGTCTGATGCTAAAAATGACTTATTGAGTCTATTCCTAGATCCCAAATCACTTAGGTGCTCTATCTATGTTCATGTTCAAAATTACTTTTCGGTAATCAGAGACATTCAAATAACATATATTTCCATACAATGAAATGGTGTCTTGATGCCTTGAAGTAGTCTCCGGAAGTTCCTGAGATGTTTTCGTTTCTTCTTTTGTCCGGAACTTATGTCAGCCGATTCTTTCTGTCTTTCTGTCACGTCTTTTAAAGTCACTTAACTTCATTAATTCGCTCAGCGCACATGTACGGGTGCGCTATGCGAATCTCCTTCTTCTGGCAGTGCGAATTTTGGCTTTCGCTTTGCGAAAATTGACTGATAGAGTCTAAATAATACACCATTTCATGTTACAATATTTTACATAACAATCTACTACCTATTACAACTTTTCAATGAGGAACAACATGAATAACTACAAGATTAAGCTTATTTATAAATATAAAAACAACTCTTTTTGACACTTATCACACTCATTATCTCTACGCACAAGAAATATTGAGTAAAAGAAAAGGGTCTGAGAAAGAAAAGAACCCAGGAAAAGCAAAGTCTCAGGAATCACAAGAAGCCCGCAAAAGATAACACCCTTTTTTTCACACTACAGCATGAGTTGTCTGGATATGAGGCAACACAACTCAACCTCGTCCAATAATAATAATGATAAAATGAAAGAAAGAAAGAAAAAAGGTAAAAGAAATAAAGAAGAAAAAGAGATTCATTACCTAATTTTGTCAACCATGTAGAGTCTCCTTTCGTACTTCCTTCCTTGGTTTGTTTTCCCTTCTCACTGCCTCATCTTCTGACTGTGACAGCAGAGAGCCATGATGGAAGAAGGAAGAAAGAATCAAGAGGAAAAATAAAAGCATGGACTTTCCTTGATCGAAACCATTTTAGTGAATAAAAATAACAGCTTTACTGGATGTGATATAGATATAATAAGCATACCTGTGTATGTTGGGGGTGTGTTGGAAGCGCGAGAAAGGGAGTCGAGAAAGAAAGAAAATGATGCTGATATGCGAAGATGGATTTGTGAAGATTAGGACGTTCGTGGTGATTTAAGGGCGAGTGAGAGCGTGGATTTGAGGAATGAGTGAAGTTTTTTATCTTCGCAAAATGCTCATATTTGTGCTTATTTACGGTGAAAATAGACAAAAGTTTTAATGAAAGAAAAATGGGCTTAAAAGAGATAGAGGAGACATAGAAAAAAGAGAAGTAGGGTTTTGTGTGAGAGAAGTCAATGGAGTTGGACAGATGTCTTGCATTTATTTTAAAGCCTTAAATCTCATTATTTTCCTCTATTTTATTCATTTAATTTCCTCATCTTTTTCTGTCTTCCATTAAATTTCAATTTTCATCGACTTTTAGTTAATTTAGTTCTTTTTAATAACAATTTTTAAATCTTTAATAAAAGATGAATAATGTGTAAGGTCGTATCAATTTAGTATTTTTAAATAATACTAGTATTAATATTACGTGTAATTGTTTGATATTTAATTAAATTTTCAATTCAATTTCAATTTATTTCGTTTCAAATTGATAGAATTGAGTGTAAGACAGTAAGATTCATAATAACTTACACATACTATTAATATTAACTTATCACATCACATGATATAATATTAATTTAACTGACACATAGATAATGATCATTAAAAAATCAAATTAAAAAAAATTATGGTTTTATTAAAAAATAAAATAAAATAAAACAAACTTCACAAAGTATAAAGCAAATTTCTATTTAAACCATTTTATAACTTCTTATTCCCGGAAAGAAATCATGGTGACACATTTCTTTTTATTCCAAATGCAGTAAATTTTATATAAGGAGATTCTTTACTGCTAAAATATACAACAATTTTATTTTAGATCTCTTTTTTCTTACATAATATATTATAAATGTTGATATTACTTTTTTTATATTTAACATGTTAATAGGATCTTTCAAATTTATAATAATTTGAATTTTCATATTTATTGAATAAGTAAGTATCAATTCATGATTTTAATTTGTAAATTACCATTGGAACATTTTATTATAAGAGTATAACATGTTTTCTTTTAAACTTTTTTTACTGTCTCGTCGTTTTAAAAGTTTAACTTGAAAACATTTATTATTATAATTTAAAAAAAGAAACATTTTCTTATATTTATTGTCATTGTCCTATAGCAGACTCTAAAACAATCAGATGTATTGTAATACTCAAATCTTAAATTTATAATTTGAGTATGACCCTATAATAAAAATGATGTTAAAATGTAAATATATTTCAATTGGAAAAAAAAATTAAAACTTCGTACTTAAAATATTTGATTGGTGTAATTAGAATCTAAAAGTATTATATCTAGTCTCAAAATAAAATTACAATTAATTACTTTTCTAATAATATATTTTTTAAACATTAAATGTTATTTGCTACTAAATATTTGAAATATGATTTCGGAATATTGAAGATTCACATACACATTACTACATTTAGGTATGCCAAAATTCGAAAAAACAGTTCTCAATCATTACTAACTGAGAATAAACAATGTAATTATTATTTATATATTTAAAAATTTCAGAAAAAATTCTTTAAAATGTTATTAATTGAAAAAGGTTTAGTTTGACTTGGTAATATAATTGAAAAAAGATATTTGCCGCAAATTTAATTTTGTCTATATGGATATGAGGAACGTTAATGATATATAACTAATACGATCTTATTATATTTTTTTTATTAACTGAATTTTAAAATTCACGAAGATTTGAGAAAGAGTCGTAAGTTATTTAATTTTTGTGATTTGATTTAATAGTTAAAATAATATTAAATAATATTGAAAGGTTGAATATAAAAATATATTGAATACAATTCTCGTTAACAAAATTATAATTAAAATTAACTTTGAAAATCATAATAAAATGAGTGTCAATACTGTACCTATATCAGTGGTCTTGAGTCAATTCGATAAAAAGTTATTTTAACTCACACATTAAACCGAATATATATAAATAAAAACCTATTCTTTTACCAAATGACCATTTTAGTTTGAAAGTTTTAAATTGAAGGAAATTGAGTTAAAAAGAAATGGAATGCCGAAAGAGTAAGTGTGNATGGAATGCCGAAAGAGTGAGTGTGGAAAAGGCTGTGTTTTATAATCAATCATTGAAGTTGTTTGTGACGTATGATCATCTGGGCCTCAATGAAGTCAGCATTTGGGATACAGAAAAATGCTATGAATTATAATCTTAAAATATTATCACATGCTCGCGGAAATTAGTTTACTTTGGGTGTAGAATTAAAAGTATGTAAATAATTTTCTGTTATTTGTTCTGCTATTTTTTTTTGTTACTATATTTAGTAGTTACTTTCAAAGTTTTATAATAAATAACGACTAGATGGGTCACATCATTTTCACCACTGTTATTTTCGGATTTATTTTTTATTGTTTAGTTTCAGAAAAAATTATCATTTTAAAGATAATAATGTCTCTAATTGAGATATCTTAAAAAAAATCATATATTATTTTTTTTCTGGAATTTGTGCTTGTTTGTCTAATTTTGCTTATTTATCAATTATAACTTTAATAAAATTCATAGTTGGCTTCACAAGGATAAAAACATATGGTAAATAATTAAGTTATAAAATTTGTGATTTGATTTGATTAATGTTTCATCAGGATTAGATTTCATGAATTAAATATTACAAAAATTATATATAGTATATCTCAATCTCTTTCATACATTTACATTTAAAACATATTAGTCCTAATATCTTAGCAACTAGTTATAAATCAATATGTCAAACTGTTAATCTCTGAGTCAAGTTAACATACAATTTGCATTAAGATTAGGTGTTTAGAATGACTAAATGATTGAGTTTATCCCTAGATTTCATATCACATGGTTGTTCTATCTATGTTCAAATTCTAATTCATTTCGCAATGATTAAATATTTTCGACATCATGATATTCCATCATACAAAATTATAATCAAGATAGAACATACGAACATGACGAGATTATATTATACAAGAAGATTTACATCAATTTAAATCCATTACATCCAATCCTAATGAAATAGGAGTTTAAGTGCTCCTATGCATCTAAAATATACAAGATTGGTGGAAATTGATGATTGCACGAAGTCTTGATGCCTTAGAGTTGTCTCTAACTGAAAATATGAGTTCTCTTGTGTTCCCATACTTCAGAACTACTTCCTCTCATTAGTTCACTACATAATAATCACCTTCAAAAATTCACCTCTCGTTGAGTGAGAGAACACATTCGCTAAGCGAAAAATCAACTTTTGATTTGCTCTTAACTCCTTTGTCTCGTTGAGTGAGTATTTTTATTCTTCATCGAGTGAATGGATCATGACTGAGTGAAAAGGATACTGATAGGAAATTTCAAAACTCTTCAAATCTTCATTTTCTTGCAAAATATTCTACAAAAAGATAAAATAACATTTAATTTGAACTAAACAAAAAAATATAACATCTTCTCACAAGGAAAACACCAAATACATGAATAAATACAAATCTAAGGTAAGAAATAAACATGAATTATAAGTATTAATCACACTTATCATATATGTCTATGATATCTCCACATCGTCGTCACCGGGTCATCGTTCAAGTATAGGTGTCGTCCAAGCAGAGCTTGATATCTGTAAATTATGTTACGACACCTATTCAAGCTCCTAATAAAGGTTTGATCGAGGACCAAAGTCAGGAAGAGGCCATAGGAGAAAGGAGCGACCATATAGTTGGGAAAATTCGCGTTGACATCGTTACCGAAATTTTAAGGTATAATTAGGTGGCACATGAAGTTCGTGAATAGGTTACTCGCTTCAAATGGGATAATAATTTAGTGAATCTCCATGCTTCTGCCTATTTGATATTGGAAAATGTTATCTATTAAGAGTTGATTATGATCAACCTATTCATAACCCAATTCTATTTAATTTAAATTACTAACATGATTAATCAAATGATTAATTGATTTTGACCATAACTAATCAATATTTTCCAAGGTCCTATATATTTTAAAAGTTTAACAAAAAAAACAATATCCTTTCAACATTTTCATTGGAAAGTGTTCATTGCAAAAAGATGAGACAATAAACTTTTCGTCATATATAATGTGTTTGTTTTTGGTTGTTTGAAAGGGATGTCTCACAAATGAAATGAGAGCCTCACAACCCACCATTACTTTAGTCATCCACGAATTAATACACACGCACCTAGTAATTTTTTTTTTCATTATCTATAGCATTTAATATAATATAATTTTTATGTGTCTACTCATTTAAAAATTGTTATTGCCGAGTATTTGTTATCATAGTATTTATCAAGTTGTAACATAAAACATTCCATCCATTAAAATTATAAGTGTGTTTTTTCATTCCTACGATGTAATATTGAAATTGATTATAAACAAGAATGAATTTTTTTAAAAACTTTTTTCTCAAAATAAAGTTAAATTCTTTATTTTTATGAAATCCTCACTTATTACGTAAGGGCAGAAGCATTTGAAGACAATCATGCTGAAGATGATAATATTACTTCGAAGATTGTATCTCATTTCTTAATCACCAGAAAATCGTAAAATAGGGCAGACATTTTTTCTCAAGAAAAGAAAATGAGAATCAATCACAATGGATAAACAGAGCAGAAAATGGTTGGCCATGGGCTTGAAGGCCAATCCTTAGTGGTGTGTTAGAGATTAAGAAAATGTTGGTATTCATTCAATTCAAGCATTAGCCAGTGAGAAGGACAATTGAGGTAGACGTCACTAAGTGCACTTTTCAACATAAAATTGATTTAGGTAAAAGGGTAAGCAACCGAGCACCTAAAGACAATAGCAGGATCCAATGCCATGCATTGTCTTTGTTTCAATAGTTTAATTATGCTATCTTCCAATAAATGTACACATCACATCGAATAATTTTCAGGATGCTTTAATGGTTCCTCAGGAATTTGACCATAACTAACATTAAACCAGCAACTGCCACTAGAGAAGGCAAGTCTTCCACAGCCAACCTGGGCAGCCAGGACAGGAGCACTCAATCGCACAACTTTCAGTTCCTAAGTTGAAAATTCAAATACACACATGGTGTTTACCCTACAAGCTTTGACAATGATGTTCAACTACTTGCTGTACACACTGTTCTTGCAAATGGCATAGGAATTACGGTTCCATAATACATGTTCTTGGCCAATATTTAAAGCCAAAGCAAGTACACAAAATCTCAACACGGTGGACTTCAATTTGCACAAAGTTATGGTAACATGGGATCTCCAGAAGATGCAAGCATTTGTAAACTTGTTTCTTCAGCTGCCCGTTTAGAAGCATACTCTTGCATGGAATCACCTGCAAATAATTATTAGATCATTAATCTTGTCAACTTTAATTAACTACTAGGTTGGTCTGGCTCCTCTTTAAGTTTCGTTCAAACTGTTTCATGCCAGACCCAATACAGTGCTTCTAAACTTAATTTTTTTTTGAACTAGTGTTCGTCCTTGGGTCCTTCATGCAATACCGTTTCGATCCCTATATCCTATGTCAGCGTAGTATTCAGGAACACTAAAACTAGTTTGACCCAGCATATTCAACAGTTAACTATTTTGAAATGATTGCGAAAATTCAGCTTGATATGCACACGTACATTGAGAAAGAAGACAAGCAGGCTAACTTCCAAGAAAATAACTAGGAATTGTTCTCATGGCCACAGAAGGTAATCACTAGACATACCAAAAGATTGACGAAGCCCTTCTTTTACAGCATCGAAGTTCTTGTAAGTGTAACCAACGAAGCTTAGATCTTTGGTAGTTAGCATCTGTAGGAATTAGGTGGATGTTGAAAAATTAAATTATGCCATTTTGTCTAACTATAATAGCAAGGTGTATCACAGATACTTTGAAACAAAAAAATACGCTAGTCAACGATCTATTAAATGTCATCATCTTACATTCTAAAAGAAAAGGACGGAAGAAGAATAAGCAATCAATTGTCATCCAATCAAAGAATAATAATGCATAATAAGTTCGTTAACGGTTAAAATAATCACCTTAAAATCATATAAACAAGTATTTCTTGTTAATAGTGCAAAAAATTAGCTATTGAAGACTGAGAAACATCCTCCAACTATGAACCAGAATAATCAAATGACTTCTGACTTTGGAATCACGTAATAACAGTAAAACACAAGGGCAAAACAAATTGATAAGATGCCAGCCGAAACAACTCGTGAGGTTTTTGGTAATGACTGTAAAGACTTGAGTCAAATCATGCATATAAGAATCTCAAGAGGGCGAAAAACCACACCACGAAAGCTAACTACAGTAATACGGGATCCTAAAGTCTATGGATTGGTTCCTAAAATCCCACCACACTCCACAGCCCTTTTATATGAGCTGGCACTAGTCCATGATTAATCCTGGACAAACACTATATTGTGAGTGCCAACTTCACTACATTGTGAGTGCCAACTTCACGACCCGCTCTGCTTGTTTGCAGTTGAGAGGGACGGTGAAAGACTCTAATGCCAATTAATACGAATCTTTGGAGAACCCCACCACGATAGCTAGCTCGGAGAGCCTAAGACCCATAAACGTTATACTAAATATCTAATATGGAATGCAACTTCAAGTGTTTAAGTAAGCAGAGGAAGATGAGAAGAAAGGTAGTGATACTAGAAAGGAAGAGTTGCTCCAATTGTAACTAACATCAAAGAGACGAAAGACTAAAAATAAAACAAACAGAAGAATTGCTTATTTATTTAATTCTAATCAAGATTTTGAATCGATTCCAGCTTTGCAGTTTTTCTTGATATTGCAGGAAATTGCAGATAAATGGGCCCACTATAGCTACAAATTGAGGTCAGAAAATCAGAGTTATTGTAAATTTGCAATCCGTTGACGAAATTGTGATCACAAACTGTTTTTTAAAATCATGATTCCAATATAAGAAAAAAAAATACAATAAAACAGTAATATGACTTGAGAAACTTAACTTGTAAAATAATTCTCAAAAGCCTGAGTTGATCCTCGCATAATCTGCTATATATTAAAAATAATTGATTACAAAATCACATGATAATTATGGATAACCCTAGACCACAATATAATCATGTATAATTAGAGTAACCTATAACCCACACACTCTAATCATGATAAATAGAGTAACTCTAGACACAATATAATCATGATAAATAGAAGGTAACCCTCTAACACAGTATACTAAATAGGATAAATATCCTAACAATCTGTATGATAATGGCGGTATGCACTTATCGCTTCACCAACAATAAGAAGGAAATAAGAGGAAAAGCTCTGATTACGGTGGATACTTAGGTCAGGAAACTATAAATCTAAAATAAAATAAAAAAGATATCATGGATAGAAACAGTGCATTCCCTGGCCCTGTGACTCCCAGCCACTACCCATTTACCCACCTCCCCACTCAACGCTACATGTCCTTATCCTGTCATTGCCGCAACCTCATCTCCACTATCCTGATGTCAACTGTCCCATTCTGTAGAGATAAGAAACCATTGCTATCGCATTCCCTAAACCTTCTTTCTCTTCTAGCGGGGCAGTACTTTTATTGATGGTGCCTATGTGAAACCTCCATCCATTCGATTTCCAAACAAATTTGTTTTCATTTTTTTCCCCATTTTTTTGACAAGTCGAAATACACAATTCTTGAACTAGTCAGGCTTAGCAGCATTCCACAAAAATTATAGAGCTGTTTGTTCCATGTTGATTACCCAGTCCGCCCTTGATAGTGGAAACCTACAACACAATCCTTTTTAAAGCCATTAAATGGCAACTCACCTAAGTAGATATATTCAAGAAGACGAAGTTACTTTGCTTATTCTATGAAAAGCATACTCACTCATATAATAGTTTTGATATAAAGAACAATAAATAAAAAATTATTTTCATAGTATCACTTTTAACTGTTATCAGCAACGGTATTGAAAAAGTATTACAAATCAGTGAAACCAAATTGACAAGAGGAAGTATACTGTTCTCCTCTAAAACGTAATATTTAAACTCATAACATAACTATGAGGAAGTCTATTTAAATTTTTTTTTCTTTCACCTAAAGTAAAGATTGGAATTTTACCCAACAAGTCCATAACATGTTTTCACATATAACAATTGATAGTAAAAAATTTAGTGAAAAACGTGTAAAAAAAACTAATCCAAACAGTGTAGCCTTTCGTGAAGGATCCAACCACTTCTTGCCGCTGTTGGTGGATCCACCTAATAATTCACCAAAGAATACAACGAGAAAATCATTAAGGTTTTTTTTACAACAGCCAATTACACTACAAAAACATGGGCATTATACGAAATCAAGAATATATCAAAAAATGTCATCAAAGTGGAAAGATGATTAAAGAACTCTTAGTGCAAGTAGTAAGTCTTAGTTCTAGGAATACATGTTACTGGAAGAACAAGCATAAGGGAACCTTATAGAAGAAAGGGTTCCAAAACTGTATTAGAGAGTGTTAGATATATTATATATTTTATCTTTTAATTAGTTTGTTATTATTTCTCATTTGTATTTTGGGCTTAGCCCATATTTCTTCTATTATAAATAGAGAACCCTATGTGTGTATTTTCACACAAGGGAGAGTTCATATTCAAATATAGTTTTTCACTATATCAACACTGGTATCAGAGCAGGTTCTCTTGATCTCTTCTCGTGGCCTCTGTCTGTCTGCCGGCGGCCGGCTCGCCATTGCCCCGGCGCACCCTAAAATTTCATGGAGCGCAGCCCTTTCTCTTCTTCTGGAATCTGTGCCATATTAATTAGTCATAGTGGGCAACCAGTCGCTCTGCCATCCGACCATCGCCATCCACTGCCGCCGTCCAACCTCTTTCCGCGCCGGCCACCTGTCGTCTTGCCCCTGCTTCCTTCGGTCCGTTCTGCCACCCGCCGGTCCAACCCGTCACAGTTTTGACGTGTAACCTGCGATCTGGACGTCGTCTCTTCGAGCGCGGACCAACCACGCCGTTTTCGAGCAGCCACTTTCTCAGTCGGCCGCACTGCCCGCAGCGCTCTTTCTGGCCCAGTCTCGGCGCGGTTTGCACGTGTCGTGCCTTCCCTCCGGTGTAGAGTTACAAGCATACCGAAACACCCGCACCCTCCATAGCTCTTTGCCGGACCTCCCTCTCTCTGTTCAGAAGTCGACCTTCCATATGCAGCCCATTGTGCCATCTTCGTCTGTTCTTCGGCTCTCCCTCTCCGCCGTTGATTTCTCTGGCCACGTTTTTCCCTCTGTGACAGGCACTGTTTTCTCTGCTTGTATGCAGGCACTGGTTATGCCGTCTGTCTCCAGGCCATTTGTTTTGCGCTTCCAGCCATTGTTCTGGCTGCTGCTCCGTCGTCCCGCCGTGCATGCGCGCTTCCCGAGCCGTCTGCCGCTGTCCCCCCCGTCCGTATGCCCGTCTGCCGTCTGTCCCTGGCCCGTCCTGCCGCTGTCCCGCGCCCGTTTGCCGGCTTGCCAGGCACCGTATTCTCCAACCACTAGTAGTGCCCCCATCACCTCTCGTCAGTTAGTGTGAGTCAGTCCCTGTGTTTTGGTCGCTTCCAGCCACTACATGCGCCATCATAGCAGTGATTGCAAATTTAGTCCCTACAGTTTAAGCAGTCAACAACCGTCCGTTGTGCAGTCGCTACAACCCAACAACACCACACACCGACCCAACTCTCAGACAGCGCACTCTCGTCTTCTTCGGGGCTAAGAGTTTAGCCCATCTTCCTTGTGATACATGGCAAGATCTACCACTTGGGATTGTCCAGCAAATAATTTGGACCTCCAACATGGTCTTTGATTCTTTGATACTCTTGGTTTCATTCAGCATTTTAGCTTAATATTTTGTTTTGTTTTGTGGTTGCGCAACGTGATCTTTCAAACATTTCCGACCTTCACACTAAAGGGTGAGTACGTTTCCAACAACTGCAAGTCATAAATATGGGTGTAGTCCCTGAGTTTTGTAGATTTCATCAGTACTACTGTTGCTCCATCACCCATCTCATCATTGATTGGGATTTAGTGTAGTCCCTGGCAGTTTTGTAGGCTCTAGATTTCAGGCTACTTACGGATTGGTCCCGTCACTCATCCTCATTGATTGGGATCAATTCCTGCAGGTTTGTCATTGTCCACCACTCTCTCTCCTTCAATTGCCACTTTTGAAGTTATGAGTTTCAGCAAGCTGTTGTTAGTCCATCTATGTTTGCCTCACACTCTTGAAGTACAAATCATCTAGTTCAACACTGAGTTCATCTATTCCAAGCTTAGGTTCATACAATTTGTATGCTCCAGCTGGTGGGGGAGTGTTAGATATATTATATCTTTTATTCTTTTAAATTAGTTTTGTTATTATTTCTCATTGTATTTTGGCTTCAGCCCATATTTCCTATTACTAATAGAGAACCACTATGTGTGTAATTTTACACAAGGGAGATTATTCAAATGTTATTTTTCCACTATAGATTAACAGGAGGAAAAGTAACAATAGCAGGTTCAATGTCGCAAATTTGAAATCTCTGTCGCAGATTTTCTTTGGCTATTTTAAGCTACTAAACCAACACCTAATTCCTTAGTACGACGCTGTTGCTGATTTTATATATTAAAGATTGAACGGAAAATACATTTAAGATGGTTACTGGCCCATGATGGGTACGCTTCACTTTAGCTACAAAGATTCCTACAAACTTCCAGATATCATATCAATCCAAGCTTTTAACAATTATCAGATCCGGGTTTTGGAGGAATTTACCTTTTTTATTTTAAAAGTTCCATATTGGCCATGAAGAGTATCAAAATTTAGAAATATATAGCCAAGACAAATCACATTTAACAACAGAAACTTTGCTACACGTCCAAGCTAAATTGCTGTTGGCAGTGTAAGAGGTCTGGATTCGATTGAATTTAATCTCATTTGCAACTCAACCCAATTAAAATAATTGGGTTGGACTGAGTTCACTTTATTTTTATTTAACAACCACCAATTCAGCCCTAAACCTATTATATATTGGGTTGGACTGGAGCATCAAATGGGATTATTTAAAAATATTATCACCTTTTGAAAAAAAAAATTGTCAACCATAAATACTTTTAATGTTTCTTAATATTTATAAGAGTAAAACAATACTTTATGACACACATTCATATTATAAACTATAACATTTTATCGTAATATTCATTAGACACAAAGACATCATTTCGGTTGGTCGGTTCATTCCTCCTCCTAACTCTGAAGAAACATTCTAATTGGGTTGCACTAAAATTACACCACCCACTCAAGCTTACCAAAAGTGAAAATAGGATTGGATTGGATTAGGTGGGTTCCAGGTTGGGCGCAACCCCACTTACAAATCACCCCTAATCCCTGGTAACATTGAAGCATCAATTTTCAAATGATTAACGGCAAAATTAGATATATGCGTTTTTCCAAGCAATTCGTGGCAGTTCTTCTGTAAGAAAATATACAGAACAAGTACATATGGATAAGCCGTGATGAGTTCATATTTTATATACCATCATCAAACTTCATGAAGTTTTGTAATCCAGCTCCCCGTTGACTTGAGGTTTTAAATGCTGCGCCTCCATTTCATCCAGTTTCTCTCACTCTTCCCACACCATGGAACCAAGGTGAGCCTTATATAGGAACGTAACTTAAGTTGTACAGGTAAAAAAAAAAACAGAGTGCTGACGCATCTCGCAATATTATATTACTTAAAATAAAATGAAAACAACCTTACCTTTATTTCTTCTGGGCCCCCTCAGTACCTAACCTATGATCAACATCACATCACAACCTATAAATTAGAATCCTTGGGCCTCAAGTGTTTAAACTGGGTATCTTCAGGAAACCTGTAAATGATTTCTCCAGTGAAGCAATCTGAAAACAATTAGTGAACTTAGATGGCCACCAAAAAAGAAACAGAATCTTGGGAAGCCCTGACTCTTCTGGGTAACATAACTAAAAAAGCGCAAAATACACCCAATAATACTTCTCTTATCAATTTTCCCTCACGAAAATCGGACTGGCGTTTGAAGACACAGATGATAAGAGGTCCCCTACCTTGAGGCTTACTACTATTTAAACTAGGTGGCTAAGATCAACAACTTGGTTTAAAATCAAAATCAACATTCATTTTCGACAAATTGATCTTTTTACTGTTTTTAAAAATCACATCTCCCAACAGCTAGTATTTACTTAGTGACGCGGCACATAACTAGTTTTTATCACATCTCCAATAGTGTCTTTTTTCGAATGTTTCCTTATTATTTAATTAATACAATATAATAATCCTAATTCAAAAATTAAATAAATAAACTATTACTATATATAACAATCCTAATTCAAAATAAATAAACTAAACCTCCAACAACATCCCCCCAAACCCCGTCCCATCTCCATCCAAGTACACCTTGGTGTCTTATTTTATTAACTTTTCACATTCTTTAAATTAAATAATTGTGCAAATGAGGGTTGACTCAATGGTTACTGACAATGTATTGAACATTGTCCCTGACCACTGAAACACTATCATCAGGCTGTTTTGCCACCTATCCCCGGATGTTTTATAAGTATGTCGTGTTTTATTCACGGGGAATAGAGAAGGGGATAAAATGATTTTAGTCTCAAAGAATACTTGTACTAACAACACGAGACAGTGTCAATTCACTACATCAGCTTAAACTGCTTGTCTCCCTTTGGTTTTCCAGGATTTTCATTAGAGGACATAGTCAAAAGGTAGTATCATGAGTTTAACGAAAGCAATAGAGGGGTAACAATAGGAACATGGTGGCAAAGTATCAAGTCCCCGTCAGACTAACTACATTGAGATGCAATAATATATTAATGTAAATGTGGAAGTCTTTAAACACATTAATATGGTACCTTTCTGGCAAGTGGTTATTGGGTCATCGGAGTAAAATGGTGGGTAACCAACCACGCATTTCATACATTATTGCTCGCAGTGACCCCTGCCATCATGATCAAGCAATTCAACTGTCAAATTTCAAATGACCAGGTGCAGCCCAAACACTCACTCATAACTACACTTATGATTAAATACAACAAAAAAGTAGCAGCAATCCTCCCAGCTATAAGTTTACAAGGTTAAAACAGAAATAACTTCAGGTAAGAACTAACCAATACATCCATCCCATAAGCCTTTTTTCAGAATACTCTTCAGGAGCAATGTATCCGTGTCCCCACTGTTTTGAAAATGCCTTGAACACGAAAGCAAGGAAACGAGAACAATGTAAAGGCTTTCTTATTTTTCAGAAGTATTAATAAGAAGTTCAATAAGTAACTATATGAATCATGCAATTGAAAAGCAATATTCATGTGTCAATGGATCGCAACAACAACCTGCATCAATGCAGAACTAAGTCTTACTAAAAGAATAAATTGCATAGGCAGCCCAAGGTACAGTATCCTCAACCATACAACAAGATAACATAGGGGGCAGAGTCATTTTACAATTTAATCAGGACCTAGCTTAAAAAATTTTAAACCTCCGCCGCCTTTTCATACATTCAAAATATAAAAGTGTGGAGTTAGGATGCCTTCAAAGACATTGTTTTCCTTAAAGAACTCCTGAAAATTTTATCCCTCACCCCACCCCCCCTCCAAACAAATAGACACATAAGTTTCAGATTCTAAGGCTCTGTTTACTTTTGTATCATTCAAAGAAGAAAAGGAATCTTCTAATATCAATGCAGGTTTTGATTTAGACCACAGAATCCAAACCCAGACTATGAAACCAAATACAGAGACATGAGTGTCATAGAAGAAAGTTAGGACCATCTCTATGAAAATATCTTCTTGGGGTTTAAATACTAAAGCATACCAACTTCCTCCTGTTCATCTGCCAATGCTGAAGTTGTTCACCGAGACTTCTCTCCAGCTGCTCCGATTGTCCGCATCACGCAACATCCATCAACATCCATTGGCTCTGCCATGTCTCATCATCCGATGGTCTGATTTTCATGCAGTGTAGACAAGGCAATACAATCGAGAGGCTTACAGAGACCAAAATCAGAGAGCTTCATGTGACCATTTTTATCCAGAAGTAGGTTATCAGGTTTAATATCTCTGAAAAATAGATGACAAGTGAAAATATTAATATGTTTGTCTAGCATGTAAAAACAACAGATTTTCATCATCATCCTCTATAAACCATCACCCCTGATAACATATAAAGCTAAAAACTTTAAGAGCACAGCCAAACTGAACCTGTGAATGTAATTGTGTTTGTGATAGATTCTATGGCCTAACACTTTGTGCAATATAAAATCTAGCACACATTTCACTTAAGGGTGTCTTCCCTCATCAGGCAGTGTCATCATGCCCCCCCCAGGCAGTACTCCATAATCAAGTAGCAAGTACTACCCAGCAATCTTGAAATGATAGTAAAGCTTCACAATGCAATGACTGGCAACCTACAGCCAGCAATTCTCTCACTCTAACATGTTCCACACCTGTATAAAATAACGAATAAGCAATTCTTCAAAGCATTATAGACATTCACTAAATGGGTGATCGCTTCCAAAATGGAGCAGTATAACCCCATTCACATTGGATATCATTTGACATTTTCAGTCCACAACAGAGCTTTAAGGGACTATGAAGAAATACTAAATTACATGCCAAGTTCTGTTATTTAACATATGGAACACCATCCATAGTCAATTTTTAGTTTTCGTTCTACTTAGCACAGTGTATATTTCCCACCTGGCCTCTCCTAAGCATTTCAGATTTCTTCAGCTTTTTCATAGCATAAATATTTCCAGATTTCTTCTCCCGACACAGTCTGACCTGTAATTGAACAAGTTAGCATAAAATAATCATCATTACATAAGTAATGCAGGATCGCACAAATCGACTGTATGTTCAGGCCATTTGTATGACACACAAAATATATATGCCTCTATCCAGCAAGAATTTTTTCATGGCACAAAAGCAAGCCAGGGGCAGTACTACACCTCCCCAAAAGCCCTCCTTCCAATGATGGTCAAAAGTTCAAATCATTAACACAAATCTGTGTGCCTTTTCAATCGCATATATTCATCTCCTTCCTCTCTAAATCTTTGATAAGATTGATCCGCTCCTCATTTGGCACCATCCGAAGATGCTAATTTTCTCTCCACACACCCAACGCCTTGAATAAAAAAAATTGTCAGCGTCAGCAACTCTAAAACACAGGGTGAACAAGAGATTTGCACCATACTAGAGACTGTTTTAGAAAAGCAATAAGGCATGTGCCACTAGAAACGAGGCCGTGAACCTTTAGCATCGTCAACTGTTTCTTGTTATGCAGATGAAGCTCACATAAGGAAACATCTTAGGTTGTTTCACTTTGCCAGATTTGGCCAAACTACTAAGATGTCATCAATCACACCATGTGGGAATACCTCAGTATGTTCAACCATTAAATATTATAATTTCATTCATTAATGGCTACACAGGCATCATGTCATAATGGCAACCTTCCAAAGAAAAAAAGTTGAGAATACATAGTTTATTTCATCCATAGTGTTGAAGTAATTCCTAACAAAGCAAATAATTTAATTATTCTCAAGAGATCCAGAGAGTCAATCATAGAAAAAAAATATCATGGTCCCTTTTCTATGATTCTAAGTAGTTTGAGACACACTTCTTATCCCTCCAAGTCTTATGATTCCATCAACATTGTCCTTTACTTTCAGTCTTCATTTAATTTGGACACGTTGGCATTGAACCAATGAGGTGCTTGTGTGGCTGGTTTGCTATGCTTATAAATGGTATGAAAATGGAAAGACCCCCATTATAAAAATTAAAAAAAAAAATCTATAAAAAGGAAAAAAAAATCTATAAAAAGGTTGTATGATTATGAGATTAATTTTCTTGAGTACTTTTAATAATGCACCCATATATTTGTCAATCACATCAGAAAATATAACTAAATTATTATCTACTCAAAGCCAATGTAAAAAGTAAAAAAGAACAATAAACAAAGTGCACAGTTCAAGTTGTCTAACTATAACAAGAGAAGTCAAATCATTTATTAACAGAGACCAGAATGCACAATCAGTTTAAAGATACATTGCTTATGATTCTAAGCAAGATGAGACAAATGTTTATTCCTATTTAGCAGCCATGTCTTTTCATTTCATCATTATTGTCCTTTAGTTCCCCTTAATTTGGTCCCTGCTATCGAATTACAACATCAGGTGCTGATGTGACTGTTTACTGTGCTTAACAAATAGAATGAAGACTGAAAGACACATTTGTTAGAAATAAAATATTAGTTGGTCCATGTAATCTAGTGAGTTCAATGTGAACTTTGGAAAATTTGTAGCTGAGAAGTCGCCAAACACAACAGATATATGAAAAGCTCAAACTAGCATTGACCAAAATGTTGACATGGCATAACAACACCATACCGAGAAGGAGATTTCAATTGCGAAGGGCTGAACAAGACATGAAGTTGGGAAACCAATGAGACTTAGAGATTACAGAGGAATGTAACCACTGGTAATAAATGCAATTAGGGATGTGCAGTGTAAACAAAATAATAAGGATGAAAGGAAAAGCCAAAATTGGTTTTTTGATAATTGTGCAGAAAATATTCATAGGTCTCCATATCTTTAAAACAACTATCTTAAGTCTTTTAAGTCAATCCAAACAATCTAGTCTGGCCCATATTTTTGTAGATCAGGGTCGATGGTACAACCCTTACTCAGACATTAACAAATATAGCTAAATTATGATTTATGATCACAAGATGGCAAAAAACAAAAAAAGGGCGGACATGTTCGGTCCTAGTTGTCTAACCACAATAAGAGAAGGTAATTAATTAATAGATTCACAGCTTGACAATAAATATCAAACCAAAGCAAGCATAGAGATATCAAGTTGAGGAGTGTGATGATACTCCAAGACTTACTTGGGCTTCTCCTCACTCACTGATCACTTGCACTGGTGTAAGATTTCAGATTACATGCGTACTCCTGGCAACTTATGATGACAAGAATTGAGAAATTAAAGTCGGGGTTATCATCAAGAGCCTAGATCGCACACCACAGCATTTACTTAAACTACCCAAAGCTTCTACACTGTGAGACCAAATAAAACCATTGAGTCTCACACCAACTATGTGGATGAATTGATTACCGTGTCAAATACCCCGTGCATTAACTTTCAACTCTAGAACCAGAACTTCCAAACAAAGCAAATGGAGTGTGGCAATTATGGATTACTTTAAAAATCATTAGTCAAACCAAACAGATTCACACAAGGATCAGTTAAATTGAGCAATTATCAATTATGAGCGAAGGAAGGCCCAAATACAGTGATTCACACAGAGATTACCTCAGCTAGGAAGGCATGAGAAGTTGAAAAAGGTAATTAAATTATAAGATCTAACCCTTAATTAGCATTGAGCTCGATTTCAACGAAAGGACTAAGTTCCCTAGACACTGGCGTTGGAGAGTAGCTGAAAAAAAAAGAAAGAAATTGAATAATCAACAATTCCGGTACCTCTCCTTCCTCTCTTGGATGTTCTTCATCTGAGCCCTATAATGATTCTCAATAAACTTCTTCGCCGCCGCCACCTTCTCCATAGTCAAGCTTGACCCCAACACCTCCTCCGCTACGTTCTCTTCCTCCTCGAGATCCTCCATATCTTTCTCTCTCTGTCTCTCTCTCCCCCGCTGTGAGCGTTGTCTAGCACTCTGAGTGTGAGTGAGAGAGAGAATAATGTGTAACTCCAACTCCAAGTGTATCTATTCTTTATTATATGTATATATAAATTTAACCTATCTGATTCTTCTCAACCTTTTCTCTCTCTCTCTACCCTCGACACAAGCACTTTCTCTCTCTACAAACACCCTGGAGCTCTTATTTATTGCAACAACGAGGAGATGATGGCAAAGATGCATTAAAGAAAAAGGCACGGATTTAGCTCCCCTGCACACCTCACCATCCTAATCCCCTGCACCTCCCTCTCATCTTCAGCAGGAGCATTCCCAGTATATTCCGTGGCAAGATCTGGTTCCGTGACTGCAGGCGAAGGTGCGTGCTTCGCGGTACATGGGAATGAAACTCGGAATAGATTAATGGAAAAGTGTGTTGTGGTGAGGGAGTGACGCGCCGGGGAAAGAGTGTGTGAAACACTCAGCGATGTGGTAGGAGAGAGTGTTGCTGTCCCTGTCATAAATGAAATTTGGGGATTTTTAGTACATGAGAACAAGGAGGAGTGGGACCCAGTGTGATGGGTGTTGATTGGGTCGTGACACCCACTCTCCTTGCTTGAGACGTCTCTTTTAATTAAATTCTGTGCACTGTTATTGGCTGGTGGTGTTGTGTCATGGGTTAAGGTGCAGTGGAATGCGGTTGTGTTGAGTGAGCTTTCGCCCTATGCATGTATTTTCATCACTGGATATGAGTTGTCACACTCTTATTCTATCTGTTTTTCTTTTCTTCTTTTTTCGATAATAATAAACTTCGTTGTTTCATCTCCACTCGCACCTTCCAACAACTCCACCAATTTCTTTTTTTTTCAAAAATTATTTATTTATCATGCTGTTCATAAAATATTTCTTGAAAAAATTCATTATATTAAGTAAAACTCACTTCAGTTATTTTTTGAGCTAATAAAAATAAATATAAAAAAAATTATTCGATTTTTTAAAAAGTAGAAACATCTCTCACTAATATATTATGAGTTTATGGAAGATATTTATGCATTGAAGTAAAATTGAAACCCAATTTATGAAAAGAAAAAAAAATTGAAACCTCAATGCAATTAATTATAGGAACAAGAAATAAAAAAATTATAATAAATTAAATTTATAATTTATTATATAAAATTAATATGCTCTTGTTTTTCTCAGTTTGATTGTTTAATAATCTATAAATGAGCATATTTTTTCTATTTGTTCTATGCAAATAATTTGTTATTTCATTCCTATACACAAATTATAATAAAGGATGCTGAAAGTATTAAAAAAAAATAATAATTGGAGTAAAATAAAAAAACACAAAAAGAAACTAATAAATAGTTTCTAGGTAGATACAAAAATATTTATTTGTAAATATTTAAAACATTTCTATTCTATATAATTAAATTATTTTTTATTATGACACAACCTCTATATCATATATAATAAATTATATGTTTAATTATTTTGTTTTTAGATAATAAAGAAAATTACGTTTATAATAGGTACTATCATACTATTTATGTTTTCCCTAATAATTGTAATAGTAATAAATACTTTTTTATTTTTCGATATAAAAGAATTTTTCTTTATTCCTTTTTATCAACCAAACAAATTTCTATTTTCACTTATTTATTTTTTTTCTCCAGAGTCTTTTGTTCTGTCCTCTTCTGTTCAACGAGTTTAAAAGTTAACAATAACATGTGTATATTTTCAATTAACAAATATTTTAAGATGGAAGGTACAGACATATATGGTATACACTGTCATTTCTTTTTTTTATTTTTTTATTCTTCATATACACAGTCATCTAGCACATGGGTGGACCATGTTTCTACTTTATTAATATAGCATTAAATATGTAAGAAAAAGTTAAAAATAAAATATTTGACTTTAATTTATTGGTAGTGGTAAAAGTTTATACACTTTTTATCTTATTGTTAATTATTTTACTGAGCTGTTTTAAAATTTTAATTATTTTTATAATGTTATTTAAGAAAATTTATAAAANTTACCGTGTCAAATACCCCGTGCATTAACTTTCAACTCTAGAACCAGAACTTCCAAACAAAGCAAATGGAGTGTGGCAATTATGGATTACTTTAAAAATCATTAGTCAAACCAAACAGATTCACACAAGGATCAGTTAAATTGAGCAATTATCAATTATGAGCGAAGGAAGGCCCAAATACAGTGATTCACACAGAGATTACCTCAGCTAGGAAGGCATGAGAAGTTGAAAAAGGTAATTAAATTATAAGATCTAACCCTTAATTAGCATTGAGCTCGATTTCAACGAAAGGACTAAGTTCCCTAGACACTGGCGTTGGAGAGTAGCTGAAAAAAAAAGAAAGAAATTGAATAATCAACAATTCCGGTACCTCTCCTTCCTCTCTTGGATGTTCTTCATCTGAGCCCTATAATGATTCTCAATAAACTTCTTCGCCGCCGCCACCTTCTCCATAGTCAAGCTTGACCCCAACACCTCCTCCGCTACGTTCTCTTCCTCCTCGAGATCCTCCATATCTTTCTCTCTCTGTCTCTCTCTCCCCCGCTGTGAGCGTTGTCTAGCACTCTGAGTGTGAGTGAGAGAGAGAATAATGTGTAACTCCAACTCCAAGTGTATCTATTCTTTATTATATGTATATATAAATTTAACCTATCTGATTCTTCTCAACCTTTTCTCTCTCTCTCTACCCTCGACACAAGCACTTTCTCTCTCTACAAACACCCTGGAGCTCTTATTTATTGCAACAACGAGGAGATGATGGCAAAGATGCATTAAAGAAAAAGGCACGGATTTAGCTCCCCTGCACACCTCACCATCCTAATCCCCTGCACCTCCCTCTCATCTTCAGCAGGAGCATTCCCAGTATATTCCGTGGCAAGATCTGGTTCCGGGACTGCAGGCGAAGGTGCGTGCTTCGCGGTACATGGGAATGAAACTCGGAATAGATTAATGGAAAAGTGTGTTGTGGGGAGGGAGTGACGCGCCGGGGAAAGAGTGTGTGAAACACTCAGCGATGTGGTAGGAGAGAGTGTTGCTGTCCCTGTCATAAATGAAATTTGGGGATTTTTAGTACATGAGAACAAGGAGGAGTGGGACCCAGTGTGATGGGTGTTGATTGGGTCGTGACACCCACTCTCCTTGCTTGAGACGTCTCTTTTAATTAAATTCTGTGCACTGTTATTGGCTGGTGGTGTTGTGTCATGGGTTAAGGTGCAGTGGAATGCGGTTGTGTTGAGTGAGCTTTCGCCCTATGCATGTATTTTCATCACTGGATATGAGTTGTCACACTCTTATTCTATCTGTTTTTCTTTTCTTCTTTTTTCGATAATAATAAACTTCGTTGTTTCATCTCCACTCGCACCTTCCAACAACTCCACCAATTTCTTTTTTTTTCAAAAATTATTTATTTATCATGCTGTTCATAAAATATTTCTTGAAAAAATTAATTATATTAAGTAAAACTCACTTCAGTCATTTTTTGAGCTAATAAAAATAAATATTTATACTGAGAGAATTCCAAAATAAAATTTGGAGGCTTTACTATCACTGCGGAAATATCTAAATAGATAGTTCTACTGTCATCCCAATTTAATTAAACAATTGTTATATTATTTTAAAATTTGTAAAAACTAAATTGTAGCTGTTAAGAAATTGATAATCATCATGAAATTAATATTTTAACACTAGATATTAGTTTATTTCTTAATATGGCACACACCCTCTTTTTGTTACAGGATGAGTTATAAAGCTTTGTTTGTCAAAGAAGTACACATATTAAATATGTTTCAAAGCATTATTAATTATTAACAAAAGCTAAAATAATAGATAAATAATTGAGTTATTTTAGTGAGATTCTGTTTTACGACTCATGTATAATAAAAACTTCAGAAAAAACAATGATTTTAACATATTTACATCTTAAAGATATTTTTGGTATTATAAGTTGAGTTTGAGAAATATTATTGATGTGTTGTGTACTAGGAAAAGTGTACAATATTGATGATAAGTTAATTCAATGTGAGTTTATCATCTATGGATTTTCCAAAAAAAAAAAAAATAACATGTTTATCTCTGCTTAATTAAAAAAATAAAATAAGGCTTTGCTCGAATAAGTAAACTTTCTGAAATCACCAGTCTATTTAAATAAACATAAAAATAAATGTTGTATGTATTATTACTATAATAAAATATATTTTTAAGTTTATTTTTTAAACTTATTAAGATGTGGTTTTGAAAAAAATAATTAAAACTTATATAAATCCATTACAAAATAAATTTATATTTTGCTAGAGATCTTATTTTTTAAATAAATTATCATGAATATTATGTTACTTTAAAATATACATATGAATACATAAGTTAAAATTTATAAAATTTGGTATACATTTTTCATTTTTATGCTGAATTAAAATACTATAATTAAATCTGTGTTAAAACAAACTAATTGATCAAAACACACAACATATAATGACACTGTATATTCTTTATTAATGTCAAACTCAAAATATAATAAAGTGTTGTTTAACCTTTTCTAATCATAACCCTGATATTAACTGAGCAACAATAGTGCTGTAAATAAACTTACATTTATAAAACCATAGTGCAACCTTTTCTAATTATTTTATTTATTTTTATCTAACTTTTATTTTTTATAAAAGAAAGTGAAAAATAAAAGAAAAAGGATAATTTCATTTGTTTCATGTATTAATTGATTTAAGATAAATATCAACAGTGCAATGATTTAACTATTTTTTAGAAGAAATAAAAATAAATATAAAAAAAATTATTCGATTTTTTAAAAAGTAGAAACATCTCTCACTAATATATTATGAGTTTATGGAAGATATTTATGCATTGAAGTAAAATTGAAACCCAATTTATGAAAAGAAAAAAAAATTGAAACCTCAATGCAATTAATTATAGGAACAAGAAATAAAAAAATTATAATAAATTAAATTTATAATTTATTATATAAAATTAATATGCTCTTGTTTTTCTCAGTTTGATTGTTTAATAATCTATAAATGAGCATATTTTTTCTATTTGTTCTATGCAAATAATTTGTTATTTCATTCCTATACACAAATTATAATAAAGGATGCTGAAAGTATTAAAAAAAAATAATAATTGGAGTAAAATAAAAAAACACAAAAAGAAACTAATAAATAGTTTCTAGGTAGATACAAAAATATTTATTTGTAAATATTTAAAACATTTCTATTCTATATAATTAAATTATTTTTTATTATGACACAACCTCTATATCATATATAATAAATTATATGTTTAATTAT